GGCAATATCAAGTACAACAAAACGACAAAAACGAAACAAATTATCTTTATTTGAAGGTGTATAAGTTCTAATTCATCTTAGTGTCTTATTTAGTAAAAATATTTATTTTTTTTATAGGAGAGGGGGCAAACGAGCATGCGGCTCACCTGATGGTAAGTGACTACCGCCGCCCATGAACAACTGCAACACCAGGGGAATCGCAGATGCGTTGCCGGCCTTTTAAAAAGGAGTACGCTCTTTTCTTGAAGGTCCCTAAGTCGTATCGGTCCGGAAAAATCGCTGATGGTAATCGATTTCACAAGGAGGTCGTGCGAGGAAGAAAACATCTTCTAAATCGCACAGTGGTGGACCGCCAATCATCCAGATGGTGTGGATGGTATCGGGAGTTCTGCCGCGATGTGCGTTCGTGAAATTTGGCGGCTGGGATTAATCCGAACAATTCCTCAGAGCACTCCCCATGGTAGATGCGAAAGAAAATGCAAAGGGATGCAACATCTCTTCGCAGTGCCAATGAATCGAGCCGATCGGAAAGGGCTCGGTCGTCGACAATTCGAGCCGCTCTGCGTTGGATGTAAAAATATAAAATAAATACTGTTATTATTTCTTTTTTGATGTACCTAATTAATAATTAAACTACTTAATGTTTTTCTTTCGTTATTTATTAGCTAACGCTACCTCAATGTCATTCATAATCATAAACATTCCGCGGCTAACGCGATTTCGCTCACACAACTACGACGTTTCCTATCCCTGTTCTTGTCTATCGGTAAATATAATTTTGCGATTATGGTAACAGATGTGTAAGTTTCGGTGCATGTAGTCGTGCGCCGAGCCCAGGTTTAGTGATTGCGATATTAGCGCGTAACATATCTTCCCCTTTTAATATATCAATGGTTGCAGCCACACTAATTACTAGGCTAAATCTAGTTGGGAGGTTGAACCGAAGTCCTACAAAAATGACGAATTGGTCAGATTTTTGCTGCAAAAAAATTGTCTCGTCAAGATAGCGTTTCCATTCATATAAATATAAATAAGTAGTTTTTATCACTATTTACTTTTTCTTAAACTCAAAAATTACACTAATATCTGACGAATTGCTGAGTATTTGTTGTGTCTATGTGTATGTAAAATGTTAATTTATTATTTTAATTGTTATGTGAGACAAAAATTATTAAGTATGCGCGCGGGGAAAGAATAGGATTTAGTTTACTGGCAACCAAACTTGGTAAACGGCCAACATTTATGACAAGCCGCCATACGAGCATATGTTTCAAAAGCCAGTAACACAATACGGTTACAGCGTAATATAAGTATTTATTAAATGACAATGTTTTGTGTCTATACAATGTTCGCCTAAGAACCAACAGTGAAAAAAATACCCTTTTAGGTCTGAAATTACACATAATTGTATGTAAGAACAATAACTCCTGACGGACACTTCTGAAAACTTAGATATTTGCAGTTATCATAGAGATTTTGAGGTTATGTTTTAGTTTATGAAACATCGTATCCGTTGTTCAAGCTGTTGTTCGTAATTTATATAAACTTATCACATAACAAAGCAACTACAGAGTGCACTTCCTTTTGTGATGTGTGTGAGTGTGAGTAATTCCTAAAACATTTACAGAAATGTATTTTTTCAAACAAAACCAAAACAATAGCACGTCTGACGTCTATCTATTTTGATTTGTTGTCATCTGTCAACGTTTTTGACTTTTTTTTTTTGCGTGGCACAATGCTGATTTGCCAATGAGATGACAAAAGTATTGTTATTTTAAATGAAAATAGATGATTTCACTGTAGCCCAGTTCCTTGTGGCATATATTAATCTGAGATATATTTTAAAATATAAACGTTTTCATAATATATTTGAGTGTGTCCGTTAATATCTAATGAATATTATCTAATGCATAATTAAGGATAAGAATTTTGGTTATAGTCAAATATATGTTGGTTCTTAGGCGAGTTTTAACATTGTCCTTTATTTTAACATTCCTCTATTTTATTTGTTTGTGGCAGCGCTGACCTTGCATCATAAGCGAAACTACCTGAAGCCCAAATCAAACTATCGAAGTTTACGAACTATTGCGGTAAATATTGTACTGCAGCTCCGTATTGCTACATGGAGCATTGGCCACCCTCTGGGCTGAACTACATACGCGGCGAAAGATCTATTCTTTTTATTTCACAGCCAAACGCTTGAACTTTATTTTATTTCAGTACTCATCTACATCTGGACCTCTGAACAATCTGAAAATTTGCAAACGTGTCAAAACATCGATGACAAAATAATGATTTTATGACAACACTGTTTTGCAATTTTAATAATTTTATTATTTGTTTGATTCTGCGCATTTTATACAACGCACGTAAAAGCAGTACCCGTAAGGTGCTTGCATACTAAATTATGTTATTACTCTAAGGCGTAATGCGAAGCGAAATGTCAGTTTGCCAGTCTTATCGTGCACGTAGTATGTGATGAATATAACCTTGTGACATTAATCTTAACTTTGACTACTAAGCTTTTTCTTGAAACCAAGAATAGATACAACAGTGCGAGAGACTTAATGGGATGCGACATTAAATGCTTAGAACTATGAAACTGCTTGCTAATATTGCATTTAGATATTGCTAGTTTCATAAGCTATCATTTTTGTTTGTATTATAATAAAATTATTCTTGAAGAGACCTCTTTCCAGAAATTTGATGTTTCTTATCCAGCATGCAGCAAGTATTCAAAAGGTACATCAAGAATAAAGTTGGAACAATTAAATTAAAGTTATTTAAATGAATAAGTCCTAATACTTAAACAGTGGTAAAGGTATATTATTGACCTATATAAAGGTTGATCCGTTCGATATAAGAAATTAATCTTCTTTCAAATTTTCCTCCTTGTCATTTAAGAGTCGTTAATATCTGCAGTGAATATAAATTCCACCAAAAATATAAATGTAAAAAGGTTCAGAATAATTAATTCATTCGAAGGGTGAAAAAAATAATAATAAAAAAATCTCTAACATTCTGTCCTTTTTATCTTTTAAGGCCTTAACTGCGGTTGAAATGCCTAAATTCTTGGATATTTAAGTAAAAAAATCTCAATAACTGTTCATTTAATGTACAAAGAAAAATACAGGGTAACAGAAGAGGATTTAGTAAATGTTTTTAATTGAACAAAATTGTATTTTTGTCAAGCCCTTATTAGAAAAAAAAATCCCCAAAGACTACCTATCTTTGTCATATTTTGCAAAATTTCTCTATTCGAACTGCGACGAGCCCTGTCGCAGTCCGTCCCGTCGGGGTACATTTATTCTGTGCAGTCCGTTTTCGGACATCGTCGAGGTGGACCGTACGTCGGTGTTGGAGCGATTTCGTTCAAATATATTTTAGTTTTTTAAAAGTTTATACTCAATTATAAATAATTTTATGACTAGAAATACTTAATTTAGTTTTAGGTACAGATATTTCTGTACACTGGTAACTGTAAATATTGTTTTCTAAATAAATTAATTTTTAAAGTGCCCAAAGAAGAAGAAATTTTCGCGGCGACGTTGATTAGTGAAATTGAAAAATGCATTTTTATATAATTTAGATGTGGAACTGTGGAACGACCAACATGCTCTCGTTACTTATTTATTTGCTCTTCTATATCAAGAAGCGTTTTTTCTGTCACTCCTATTGAATTTGACAGTGCTTGCTGAAATTTAGCATCTTTAGATGGATCTGAATCGCGCGCTGATCCGGCTAATAGATATTGCAAAAATTATCGAAAATATTTATTTTTACTTTCATGCGGAAGACTACCTTGTTTTATTTTATTACGGTTAAATAATATTTATTAGGTTGTACAGTATTGTATTGTATTATATCCTTCACTGCTGGCCGTATGAGGACGCTCAAGGTCGCTCAGCGAGCTATGGAGAGGGCTATACTCGGGGTTTCTCTGCGTGATAAACTTAGAAATGAGTATATCCACAGTAGAACCAGAGTAACCGACACAGCCCAACGGATTAGTAAGCTGAAGTGGCAGTGGGCCGGCTATACTGCCCTGCTAAGCGCAAAAGCGGTATCTCAAAAAAATACCGAAAATTCGATTTTTATGTCATCGGATAGCTTAAAAAAATACGCATCTAATGAACTAAGCCTTTTAGCGGTATCTTGTTCAAAACATGTGAAAAAAGCCTTAAGAAATATTTTCCTATCTCAGTTATACCTCAAATCACTAAGGGTATTAGAGGTATATCAATATCACGAAGGCAACTAGCCGTATAATTGAATACCGCCAAATCTCTTAATAAAGAACAACACTTTTTCTAAGCCAAATAGCGGCAAATATGTACAACGAGTAAACTACTGACTTACCGCTATGACGCTTAGTATTACAATGGTTACTTGATCCGCAAATCATTTGGACTACATGAGATACGGCTGCAGTGGCATATAAAATTGGCCCTTATGGTATAAACGATACGATCGGATTTCTAATACATTTTATGGTGATTTATTCGTGTTGTTGACAAATTCGCGTCATAACTCGTTTGTTTTCGTTGCAATTAGATCGTAATCTTGTAATTACCGTGTTAAATAAGTAAAGAATGGTGAATTAACGTATTTAGTGATGTAATTTTGTGTTTCGCGAGTCAGGTAAGTCCTGTAAACATAATTTTAGTACAATACAATCATACTCAACATTGAAATTTAAGGTTCTTCCAACTTTCGTTCGGCCGGCACTCACGCCAAACGTACAAAGCGAAACGGAACTTTATTTACTACTCGCTGTCATGTCAATTGATTATACCTATTCCCAAACCTTTTTTATTCAGATTAAGAATTTACCAATTTATGGTGAATGTGTGAAACTTTTTGTTCGAGTAGAGTTACTCTACTTTTCTACTGTAAAGAACACTTTATTGTATACAAGAAAAATACAAAAAATTATTACCTATTATGTCAATAAAATAATTAAATTAATATTTATAAACGAATATTGTTTCAGATAAACGATGTCACAAAGAAATACGAAAATGATGATGCTACTGGCACAAAAAAATAAGGCATTGAGAGAAAAGTTTAAAGAATCAAAATATTTGCAACTTAATATTCAAAAAATCGATCCTGACTTTTTCCCTAGCAGTGATTCAGATGACGATCTTCCATTTTCAAGATACGATAGTGCAGACCAATCACTGGCTCAGATTAATAATCCGTCAAATTATCTCGAATCTGTAGAATTTAACTTCGTATCGGGCCTATCTACATCAACTGCAGTTGACTATTTAAATCAACCTCAACAAGACCAGAACACAGAAATCGGTATTTCGGGCCCATCCACATCGACAGTTGACTATTTCAATCAGCATCAACACGATCAGAACGCAGAAACCGAGAACAACATTTCCATGAACTCTTTGATTACATTAACGACTGTGCCAATTACTGAATATAATATTTTAACTGAAACATCGTCGCCAGTACTTTGTTCTGATAAAGACAATGGTTGTAATGTAGATAGCGCTAGTACTGGAACTCTGGTCACACAGACTGATCACACACAGACTGGTCAGACAAATGATCAGCAAATGCCCTGTACTTTTCAAGTTGATACAGACCAAACAATGATAACTGTTTTTGAAAATACGAATTATACTGCTGACCCTCTAACAAATAAATCAAGTGGGTCACATGCTGAACAAGAAAGATCGGTGGAGGATCCATTCCGAGGAAACGAAGTCATAAGGAGTGTTAATCTAAGGGACACTGAAAATTTGACACAAATTGAGAGAACTAATGATAATACACATGATCTTACAACTTATACAAAAGCAGGTACAATTAGAAAAAGAAAAACATACAACCAACCACTCAATGTTAGAAAAGACGCGAAAAAAAATGAGATAAGAGAAAAACATGGCTTACAACCACCCTGTCCAGCTTCCTGCAAAAGGCTATGTATCCAGAATATATCAGAGGATCAACGAAAAATTATAAATGAAAGGTTCTGGAATTTAGGTGATAAAGAAAGGAGGGCATTTATGCTGCATCACACTTCAGCAAAACCTGTGAAACAAAGAACAGTAACAAGATCTGAATCAGAAGACTACAGGAAAAAAACAAGCTATAGTTATTCACTTAAAGACGGGAATGGGACATCGTATGGAGTATGTAAAACATTCTTCTTGACAACTTTGGGCTACAAACTATCTAACGATAAACCTTTACAGACTGCTTTGGCCAATTGCAAGGAGACAGTTGCACCGCCAGTAGATAGGAGACTGGGAGCTGCTCCTCATAATAAGATTGACTCAAATCCTATAAAGGAACATATAATGAGCTTCGAGCCTAGTATATCTCATTATAGGCGTGAGCACGCCCCCAATCGCTTATACTTACCCAGTGATTTGACAATTCATGCGATGCACAGAGACCTTTTAGAAAAAAATCCCTCTCACAGCGTATCTTACGACAAATACCGAGAAGTGATCGCAGCATTAAATATATCTTTTGTGAAGCTTGGCCACGAAGAGTGTGAGGACTGTGAAGAATTCCGTCTGCATGACAATACACACACCAAAGAAAATCTCCAAGAACGCTGTTTAGGTTGCACAAAGTGGGCAAGTCATAATGAACGGGCAACTATGTCGAGAGCACAATATAAATTAGACAGTGAGCTAAATGAAACTGGTACTGTTGTATATTCTGCCGACTTACAAAAAGTTATCATGCTGCCCAGGATAGACATGTTCAAAACTGCTATTTTCACCCACAGGATAGTTGCTTATAATGAAAGTTTCGTGCCCACTGGTCAAGGCAGAAAAGGTTTGAGTGTTTTTCCTGTACTATGGTATGAAGGATTATTTGGACGCTCCAAATCCGAAATCATAAGCGCATACCTCCATTTTTTTATTTTTCATCGAGATAAAAAGAAAATCATACAGTGGGTCGACAGTTGTTCGTCACAAAACAAAAATTGGACATTTTTTTTCGTTCTTAATTTACGTAGTCAATTCAAATGACATCAACGCCGACAAGATCGTGATCAAATATTTCGAACCAGGCCACACTTCTATGTCTGCCGACAGCTTCCACCACAGGGTGGAGTTATCTATGAAGCGCATGAAAAACAAAATTTATGAATTTGCTGACTTTTCTCAGGCAGTTACTACTGCAGGAAAAAATGTAAAACCTAAAGAGATGACTCTACAAGATTTTTATGACTGGGAAGATTACACGACACAGTATAAAATGTCTCGAATTGCACCGCGTCCATATATTAATGAAATGGTCGAAGTAGAGGTCAACAGGGGCAGTTTTGATCTGACATACAGAACTGGATTCAATAAGGACCCTATCACTGCGAGCATAATCGGAAATAAAATTTTAAAAGCTCAAGTTTTGCTCCGGAAGGCATTTCTTAAAGCAAAAAAGAAAATTATTTTGAAATCCTTTCAAAATATTATACCCCAAAATAGAATGTCCTTTTGGAGAGATCTCCTTGTATCATTTGACTAAATTTCATAGAACCCGTTTCTTTTGCTATATATTATGTATGCCATTTCAAATTTAATGAATAAAAGATTTTGTTAACATATATTGACTGAGTTTTTTCTTTAAAATAACACATTTTTTTATACACAAAAGATTTATATCTTTTTATATACAGTCATGTAGGAGAAGAGGTAACAAAAAAGCGGTAACTCAAACTTTAATTCTTTAATTCACTAAGCAATGTAGCAGTATCTCATGAATAAGGTAATTACACGAAGATTTTTGATATTCCAATTATTGTGATAACAAATAGACCCAATGTTATATTATAAATATTACTTGATAAACAAAAAATCTTAATATAAAGCAAAAACTAAAACACTTTTACATAACGTCAACTAAGTCGAAACTCGCTTCCATTGAGATACCGCTTTTGCGCTTAGTTGGGCAGTATATAGCTTGAAGAACCGACAACCGATGGGGAAGAAAGGTTCTGGAGTGGCAGCCTCGTACCGATAGGCGAAGTGTAGGGCGACTCCCTACGTGATGGAGTGACGACCTGGTAAGACATGCAGGAAGTCGATGGATACAGGTGGCTCAGGACCGTGCTTTGTGGCATTCTTTGGGGGAGGCCTAAGTTCAGCAGTGGACTTATGAAAGGCTGTAATGATGATGATGATGATGAAAGTATTTACAAATCTTTTCATTATTTTGTTATTCTATTGTTTAGTTATTATCACGTCTTAGCTTACATTAGAAATTCTTGGTGGGATACAATGTACTCGTAACGCGCATACCTTATTTTCGTCAAGAACTATAATATATATATATATATTTGGTCTTTTTTACCACTAGAGTTTCAACACAATCTTAAAAAGTTTAATGAATTAAAAAAATGCTGATAATTATATAATTTCAAGTCAGTGTTTTACATTTGAAGATCAGTTATAAAGATCCAAAGTGCAAATTTGTATTTTGATTAATTTAATTCGAGACTTAAATAAATGTGAAAGGGCTTTTATCTGCAATAATAATTTTCATCAAAAATAACATGGACTTATAAAAGTCATACACAAGGTACAAAATATTTAAAAGACTATTTCCAAAAAAAAGCTTTTAAAAAATTACTTTGCAAACATCGGCTATATAAAATAAAATGATGTGTCTTACCTAGTATGAAGCACCTCCCGCCATTGTGTCTGTCTGTCTGATTCTTCCTGCTATTTTCCAAAACGGCTGAACCGATTTTTACGGGACACTGGCAAATAGCTAATTATAAAATAAAATCGTCTCTAAATAAATAAATAAATAAATAAATAAATATAGGGAGTAACTTAGACTACTTTTATTTTAGAAAAAGAATTAAGGTTCCACGCAAAAAACTAAAACCCATGAAGTCCTATCGTAGTATTGTATTCCACGCGGGAGAAGTCGCGGGAACAGCTGCTATTTTCAAATAAAAATAGAAGCCTTATTTACTCGTATTTAAAAAAAATCAATTACGGTGTATAATTATTTTTCTTCATATATACGGTGTATAAATATACATATTATTGGAACTTAACAATAAAATTTGAATACTCAATGAAAAATAAATCCATTATTAATATCATCGGTTAATATAAAAATACTAATAATAAATACTGAGACAAGTAAGTAGCTATATCGAAGGTCGTAGCAAAAGAACTGCTGAACATAGCCAAAAGGAATACTACAAGGAGTGGTGCTGATGCACCTGCATCCATCTACTAACTTCATCTCTTATTAGGTCGTTACTACCTACATATAGTAGGAGCCACCATACACATCGATTTTTTTTTATAGGATAAGGGTGACAAACGAGCACACAGTCCATCTGATGGTAAGTGATTGCTGCGACCCATAGATATCTACATCTATCTTCGATTACGAATCAAAATGCAGATACGTTGTCACCCGTGAGGACTAAGATGGAATGTCTCGTTTCCAGTAAAAAGGGTCTCCGGTTCTCTACACTCACCATACGAAACACAGCATTAAGCTGCTATTTTACGCTGGTATTCTGTGAGAGCGTGGTCCTTCCCCGGTCGAGCCGACCCATTCGTGCTACAACCATAATATAGCTGCAGCATGGCTCTACCACGTATATACGTATCGCTTACCGGTACCCATTGATTGTCGGTTCTTCGAGCTATATGGCCGGCTCATTACTACTTTAGCTTGTGATCCGTTGGGCTATGTTAGTTACTATGTTTATACTGTGGATATTGATGATATAAATTTAGAAATATTTTATTTTATTTTACGGAATATATCGCATCGTATGGCAGCGGCATAAGAGAGACGCCTTGTGACGAGAACCTTGTGGTTGAAGTAAGCGGTGGCTTTCCAGATTATAAAATATCTAGCAGTAATAGGAAACAGCACCTAAGGTTCCAGATACCTGGTCCCAAGATCACTGGGACTGGGACTTGGACTGGGACTATTTCGGTGCCGATGAGAATCATGATAAGACCTGGCCATCACCACTGAAAACTTGTGAAAAGTGTTTTAAATAAGTACCTACACGACCAATATATAAATGGCATAAAATCTTAAATTGCATCATATCTTTTTGTATGTACGTATGTATGTCTATTTCTTACACACGCTACAGAGCTTGAGCTGAAACAGCTTGATGGATTATAAGATATTAGGTGTCGTTAGATATATTTTAGTTGTGGGAGTGACATGTGACAGTGTCAATGACACATAGTATAAAATTTTTCTCTTTCTTTACACATTTAGGCAAAAACCCAACCGTTTACCGTTTTAACCTTTAAGTTTGCTTCATATGGTCTCCTTATATCTGTGATATTAATTTTCTATCTCAACGGTCTCATTAATGTCCTATCACACTTGATTACAGAGGAAATAAGTTCATTACCTATATTGCAGTGCAGTCGGGAGCTTGTCGCATATATTAGAAAATTTCTTGTGTCTGTCCGTGTATGTGTTATATTTTAGCTACGGCTTCGCTGCATGTAACCTTGAATAAAATTGATTCTTCTGTTATTTCATGTTACTATTCTGGGAGAGCGTATCCCTTCCCCGGTCACACTGTAGCACACCTTTAGAACATTGATTTAATGTAAATATAAATTACATAAATAATTTTGAATATGATTTCAGAAATGGTTCTAGTATCATTTTTATGTAAACTGCAGAGTACGCCAGCAACGTACAATGATCGCGGATAACAATGGCGCCGAGTGCACAATGCAACTGAGAGAACCATTTCAATGAATTTTCATTGTTTTTTCCAGTCTTTCGTTTTAGTTTCTTTTTTATTTTCGGCACTTTTCTGATACATGTATTTACGCTTAATGTAAGTTTTACAATTGAAGTAATTCTGCCTATACAGGTTAACAACGTTCTTTATCAAATCGTACTTACATTATTGACACACTCTCCGTTTTTATATTTTATAAGCAATTTTGGATTTCGTACTAGCCGCATTGTGGCGACATAAGAGAAACATCACTTCATTTTCTCCCATGGATATTTTAAGAGGCGATTGCAATAAATCGCTGCGAGGTCTGTTAGTTCTCTTAGATTGCAAAATCCTAAAACAGGAGAGACCAGCGGTGGACTTTTACTGGTTGAAAAGAACTTGTTTTACGAAATTGTTAATTGTTAATTACAATTTTAAATGTTGATTTATCACGGTGGTGAAGAAAAATATCTTAAGGAAGCCTATAAGAAATGAGAGGAGGCCTGGGCCCAGTAGAGTGAAGTAAAAAGGCAGAAATTTTAATTTTTAGCCAACTTTAAAAAGGAGAAAATTCTCACTTAGACTGTATGTTCTTTTTTTGTATGTACATAACGCAATATCTACGTATATTTAAACCAATTTCAATAATTATTTTTAATTTAAAAGTAATAATTTAACCCCTAAGAGTAGAAAAAATTTCGAAAATCTAATAGTGCACACCTCTAGCGGTACGGTTTACAATAGTAAAATTCAAAAGACTTCCTATGGATTAAAATGTAAAACTAATAAAAAAGTGTGTGCAGTTCACACGCGGTAGAAGTTTTTTATAGAATAAAGGTGACAAACGTGCACACAGTCCACCTGATTGTAAGTGGCTGCTGTGGCCTATACACATCTACATCTATTCTCGTTTGCGAATCAAAATGGAGATGCGTTGTCACCCGTGAGGACTAAGATGAAATGCCTCTTTTCCAGTGAAAAGGGTATCCGGTTCTCTACACTCGCCATACGAAACACAGCAGCATTAAGCTGCTATTTTACGCTGGTATTCTGTGAGAGCGTTGTCCTACCCCGGTCGAGCCGACCCATTCGTGCTACAACTATACTACCAATATAGCTCCAGCTTAGCTCTACCACGTGTAATTGCTCGCGCCTTTTTTGCACTACCGGCTAGCGCTTATTTGATTCGTTAATTATTACCAAATAAGAGTAACTGCAAATAGTCGTTTTCCGGGATTTCTGTCTACCCCCTTTTATGCCTTTAGCATGCGTACTCTTGCCATAACCGAGTTCGCATAAGACACGCACAAGCAATTTTATTATTTTGAACTATTGCCAGGAAGATGATGTTGCCAATCTTCTGTTTGTTTTTCTCTGTCGTATCTTACGACACACACGGGACGATATGAGGTAGCGGATTCTCTTTCGCCGCCACAATTTTTAACAAAACACAAAATTTTTCTACTCCCGTTCATGAGTGGTAATTCTTCCCACGCTCACTATGAAGAGACCTTAATTTGCAATAAAACTAATGTTAAAGATTTTATCGTGTGGTAGTTTAACTTTTTTAATTCTTGACGTTTCGGACACTTTATAGAACAAATGGCGACGGGGAGGAATGAGGTGTTTGACGTTCTCATGTCATAGTTAACGAAGACCACAATCACCTATTAATTAATAATGTTTGGCCCGATCTACGCAGAAGGAGCTTACAGTACTGTAAGTCTTGCAATAGCATGCTTGGGTTTGGATTTAATTTAATTACAATTAACAGCCATCTTCTCTATGAAAA